AAAAGAAAAAAGAATTAGAATGAATAGCTATGGGGCACGGGGTGAGTGGGTATGGAAAAGGGAATTAAAAACAAAAGAAATCTTTGGAGTTTGTTATAAAATAATTGTCTCTTCCCAAAAGTTCCAAATTTTCCTCATAACAAAAGCTGCTTTGGCTGCCAGCTGTGTTGACGAGTAACAGCTTTTCATCCTTTTTCAAGCAGGAAGAGAACCTCGGGGATCAGCAGGGAATACTGTTTTTATTCTTGTGCCCTGACAGCAGAACTGAAAAGACCTGATTATCTCTTGATTTCAGGTAATTTCAGGTTAAGGTGGGTTGGTGTCAAGTTTTCAGGTCATCTGAAGCTTTTACTTTTAGAACTTCTTCCTAGGAAACTCACTTGCCTCTCTGTAGAAACATTACATACACTTGACATCTTATAATTGTGGAGAGGGGGTACTGGGATTTTGAACTGACGGATTACACCTTGAGCCACTCCACCAGCCTTTTTTGACAAGGATTTTTTCCGAGATAGGATTTCACAAACTATTTTCCCCAGTTGGCTTTGAACTGAGATCCTGCTGATCTCTGCCTCCTAAGTAGCTAGGATTACAGGTGTGAGCCACCAGAACCAGGCTGATATTTTATACTTCTTGAGTCAGAGGGGACCCAGTTATTGTACAGATGAGGAATAAAAGACCCAGAGAAGAAGTCTGGCTTAGGGTTGCACAGCAAATATGAAAAGTAAAGTCCCCCTGATGCTATCCTTATCCCTCTGTCCATTCTCAGCCCTTTCAAACATGTCACCATGAGCTCCTCTGTTCAAAACCTTCTGATGGCTTCCCCCTGACCCAGAGTCAAGGCTCCAGTGATGTAGTCCTCCTGTACTCCCACGACCTCTCAGTTGCTGCCACTTTCTCCTCGCCCACATCCACACTGCCCAGCCACTGTGACCTTGTCCTCCCTCATGTCTGCCAACCATGTTTCAATAGCACGGCTTGAAACTTACTCATCTCTGCCTCCTGCGCAATTCCTTCACATCTCTGATCAGAAGTCATTTCAGTAGAGGTCTTCTCTGACCACTCTGCATAAAAAGTCAATCCCCCTTTTCTACTTACACACCTTTAAAGTTCTCCATCAATGCGAAGCTCAGATTCTCTATCCATTCACACATTTTTTTTTTTCCTGTCTGTTTCTGTCCCATGAGAATGTCTATTCTACAAGGGCTTTGTCTATTTTGTTCACACTGCATCCCTAGCACCTATGACAGTGTCTGGCTGATATAGGTGCTCAAAGAATATTTGCTGAATGACTGAATGAACGAGTCAAGATTAAAATACGTCCCTGACTTCAGATTCCTTGCCCAGTGCCCTATTTCTCCTACCGTGTTGTTAGTTCTTGGTGGTCACATCCTTTAGCAAGAGGAAAAGACCTACAAAGCCCAAAGTGAAATAACACATTTCGTTTGCTCTGTGTGTACTTAACTTCCCATGGCTGCCTTTTTTAGCACTGAGAATAAAGTACATACTGAACGAAAAGTTAACACCTTCATGTGTTGGATGGCGCTTTCATCACAGAGCGGTTCTGTGAGCTGCTTTGCATCTTTCTGCCTTTCCAGGCAAGAGACTGTCTCATGATTAACTTCTGACCAATGAGACTGTTATCCAATCTTGAAAATTAGCTTAGTCAGGTGATTTCCTGGGCTGGGTATAATAAGAAAGTATTTCATATTCATTGAGTTGATATTGTGGAATTTTTCAGAAGTATTCCAAATGAATTTTAAGGATGCTTTAGCCAAAAACCAAACATGCTTCAGAAGTTCACAGGAGGTAATCCTGAAAGAATGTCATGTTATAGGTAATATCCTAACTGACTTCAAAAAAAAAAAAGAAATGGCCAATAGGAGAAGGGGACTAGGAACTGGAGAAAAGGTTAGTTCAAGAAGCATCAACTTAGAATGTAACACATATGTACATGGAAGCAATGCTAGGAATCTCCCTATATAGCTATCCTTACCTCAACTAGCAAAAACACTTTGTCCTTCTTGTTATTGCTTATACTCTCTCTTCAACTAAATTAGAGATAAGGGCAAAACAGTTACAGCTTGGAAGCGAGTGGGGGTGTGAAGGGGGGGAGTAATGACCCAATCATTGTATGCACATATGAATAAAGGAAATTAAAAAAACAACAACAGAATAAATATGGAAAATGAGTCAAGCCTTACACCTGACAACAGGCACACAAGCCTTCATCTGCATTCTATTTTTGTTACCATTTAAAAAATTGCCCCAAGCCAGGTGTGGTGGTGCATACGTGTAATCCCTACCTTGGGAGAGTTCAAGGCCAGTCTGGATTACATAGCAAGACCTTATCTCAAGAAAAACAAAAGACTAGAGATGTGGCTCAAGCAGTAGAGTGCCTGCTTTGCAAGTACAAAGCCTTGAGTTCAAACCCCAGTCCCACCAAAAAACAAAAACAAAAAAAAAATAAATTTAAAATTAAAGTATCTGTAGTCTGAAACAATTACTTTTCACTTATTTTAGCCAACCACAGAGAAAAGTGACCTGGAGGGTCAAGAAATATAATGAATTTGAAGCTGTGCTGTGCACCATGCAGAAAGGGTTTCCTTCTAAGGCAGAGGTAATGAGTTCACTGACTCTGAAGGCTTCTTATAGTATAGTCTTTTTTTTTTTTTTTTCAGTACTGAGAATTGAACTCAGGACCTCCTGTTCCCTAGGTAGACACTCCACCACTTGAGCCACACTACCAACCCTTTTCTGCTTTAGTTTATTTTTCAGATAGGGTCTCGAGTTTTTGCCTGGGCTGGCCTTGAACCACTATCCTCCCATTACCATCATCGGTATAGCTTGGAATATTGTTGCCTTTAAGCATAGAGAAGATAAAATCAGAACCTGGTCTGCTTAACCCTTTTCTAGAACCACAGCTTCCGGGAGTCTCATTATGTTCTAAAAATGAACACCAACCCTTAGTATTTAGAAGAACTTAAATGGCAATTCAAGAATCAGGAGTTGGCTTGCTTTCCAGGAGAAAAAGTAATGTAAGTTCAATCAATGCTTTTAAGGAGGCTCTGCACTGCACCCAGATGAGAGGAGTGTGAAGAGGGTTTCTGCTGGTAAGAGGGGCACTCAGAAAAGAAAGGAGGGGGGAAAGACAGAGATGGGTACAAAGATGAGGAGGGGAAAGTTCCGCTTTGTGGATGCAAGACAAGAAACTCATACATATTTGGACTTATGATGATATCAAGATTATCATCATATCTCAGCTAAAAGTACGCACAATATGAATGCTGTGTAAAAGTCACCTTAACACATTTTCTGAGTCAGAACACTCTCGTCTTATTGCAAAAGCTATCCATGACACTGCATAGACCCCATTTCCAGGCCAGACATGAGCCACTGTTTATTATACACCAAGCACTCCCTTCTAGTCTCTGAATTCAAGTGAATTTATCATGAAACATCGGTAATCTGAAAAATCAGTTTCACTGGCAGAGTGGCTCAAGTGGTAGAGTGCCTGACTAGCAAGCGTGAGGCCTTCAGTTCAAACCCCAGTACCACCGAAAAAAAAAAAAGGTGAAAAATCATTTCGATTACTTGAACCCAAAACTGATGAAAATGACTGGGAGAGTTAAGTATAATAATGAATTTGAAGATGTGATATGTGTCATGTAGAATATTTTTAAGTATGGAAATGTCATGATGAAACCTCTTACCATGTACAATTTTACATAGACCAATTAAAAAAGAATTTTAAAAACTTTTTTGGTATAATCTTTTTGTCATAATCAGTGGTGTGTGCCTCAAATTAACATGTAAGATGAAAGAACTTTAGAGATGAAAGAGGGCCTTGATGACTTAATTCAATATTTTAGAGAAAACTGGGTACTGAGAGATAAACCAACTTTCTTATCACCTTGAATCTATTCGTGCTATGAGTATAATAAATACAGAACTAACATATTATCCATGCCTGTACGCTACCACTACCTCAACAAAACACTACTGCAGATCAACCAGTTCTGCTCTCCCACACGCCCCCAAGCTCCTTTAACTCAGCTATGTAAAGGGGAACTGAATTACGCTCAAAACCTGAGTATTACTAGTGTTCACACCCCACCACATCCCTAGTTATGAAAAGTGTCACGATCATTGTATAAGAATTACTGAGAAACAGACCAGAGGGCAAGTTACAGAATAAGGAGGATGCCGGAAATATTAACCTTCACCTTCCCTCACTGTGAGATAGACAGAAAAGGACGATAAAATTGCTTTTAAAAGTTGGTTTTGGGTTTGTATTTAAATTTTAACTCCATATGCCAAGGATTCTTCACAGCTCTTAAACTGCATCAGACCCTGACCTCTTTGGTAACCCTAATATTCCTTTATTGGGGTGACAGCACCATCATCCTTCCAGACACGGAATGCGTGGACATCAGTACCAGGGACGGACAAGAGTGCAGGTGTCCGAGGGTACCGGCAAAACTCCACCAAAACCAAGCTGCATCTCCAGTTAAACAGGTCCTACCGTTGCTTGGGAAACCATCCATCCCTGTCTCCCTGGCCCTGTCCCAGATTCTCCCAGACCCCCTGGCCGCGTGGCTCTGAGCATCTGTAAAGTAAGGGGGCTGGGCTAATGCTGGATTCTTCCTCCAGCTCTGATTCCGCCTGGTCGCCAAGTGGCAGGGCGGTGCAGGGACAAGAGCTCCGAGCTTGACAGCCGTTAAAAGCCCACGTCCGCAGCCTCCGACCGCCGCTCCAGCCCCCGGGAACCCGCGGCCGCCCGACCTTGGCAGTGCCCGCGGCGCCCACCGCCCTGGCAGCTCGGGGCCCGCGGTGCGCAGCGCGGCGCGGTGTGGCGGGGAAAGGGCGGGCGCAGGCCCGGCCGCGCAGCTCGGCACGGCGCGGCGCTCAGGACGCGGGTCCCCTCCGCCCGCAGCCCGGGACAGCGACCCCGGCTCCCCGCCCGGCCCTGGCTCGACCCGGCCCGGCCTGGTCCTGACCTGCTCTCCGTCGCCCGGCGGTCCCTCGGCGCGGCGGGCACTTGCGACCGCCCGTCCCGGGCCCGCTGTCACCTCCGCCCCTGGCGGCCGCGGGCGGGCCGATCCCGGGTGACTCAGCGCGCCGCCCCAACTCCCGCCTCCCGCCCAGGCTTCCGCCCCGCCCGGCCCGGCCCGGGTCGCCACGCTCCGCTCCCCGCGCGCCCACCGCCCCGCCGCCCGGCCCCGCGCGCGCGCCCCCTGGCGGCAGCCCGGCCCGCGCACCTCGCAATGTCAGGGAGGCGGTGCTTCGAGGGTCTCTCCCGGGAAACTGAGGCATGGAGCCAAGGGACAAGTTCCTTTACTCATCCCCGACCTCACCACCATACTACCGACCACCCTGGAAGAAAGACAGCATTGCTTTGGAGAAGTCCAGTTCAGTTCCCGTCTGTGATGCTGGCTTCTTGACTACCCCTTGGCTGGTTCCTTTGCCTTGTCACATACTGCTTGCTCACTGGTATTTGCGTCTGTCCTTTCTCGCACACCTTTCCCCCCTACCCCGGAAAGTCTCCCAAGACAGCTTCGAGCATTTAAAATCAAGGACCGACAGAATTCAAGGCAGAGCACCTCCCAATTCTCGCGAATCCCCGCAGGATGTCTTCTTTGTGTGTTAAAGGTCACAAAGTCACATTGCTTGGTACTGCTGGTTGAATTGCGGGGCTTTATGGTTTGGTGATCTCTCTAAGAGATTCTGAAGACTGCAGGAGCCTTATCACCATGCACTACGCACGCATACCAGACCTATCACTTTAACCATTTTAAGGTTGCAGGTCAGTGGCATTGATCACCACCATCCATCTCCAGAACTTTTAATCTTCCCAAACAGAAACTCGGTACTCGGTGCACACTAACTCATTCTCCAGCTCCCAACAATGGCCCTTCTACTTTCTGACTCCATGAATTTCACTAGTCTGGGTTCCTCCAGACTAAAGTATTATCCTTTTGTGACTGGCTTATTTCGCTTAGGCTCATCCCTGTAGTAGCATGTGTCAGAATTTTCTTCCTAAGGCTGAATAATACTCCATTGTTTGTATGGGTTTATCTGCATCTTGGTTATTCGTTCGTCCTTTGATGGGCTTTGAGTTATTTCTACCTCTTGGCTATTCTGAAGAATGCAGCTATGAGCACAAGTATACACGTGTATTTGAGTCCCTGATCTCAGTTCTTTGGGGGTATATATTCATAATGGAATTGCTGGATCATAAAGTAATTCTAGGCTTAAGTCTTTGAAAAAGCACCATACTGTTTTCCTCCTGTTATTTGCAGCATGTGAACACCGGGAACACAGTTTTGTAATAAAATGGCAGTATTCTGGATTATGTTAAAATTTTTTCAATTATCTGTAAAATAGTGACTTTTCATCCTTCAAGAAAGTAACATTACAAATTATTGCTTAAATTAATAATAACTGCTATTGTTCAATTAACTGCAATTTCGTTTTCTGTGGATATAATTTTCTAATGTGTTTAGGAGCCAAGTTTACCATATGAAATCAAGATGAACTAAAAATTAAGTGTTTCATTTTGAAAACAACACTGAGATGTCTTAACATATGTCCAACACAATCTAAGCGTTTTCCTTTCTCCTAAGGTTCAATTTCAGAATAATACAGTTACTGAATCTCAGATGCAGGTTCTTTTAAGTGACTACACCAAAGCTTTGGAATTATTGCTCTGGGGCATTGCAAAGATTCCAAATCATCAAAGGCATAATAATATTCTCCCTCTCATCAACAAAAATTTACTGTACTTTTATGGCCAACAGCACTGATCTAGGTGTTTGGGATTCAGCCTGAGCAACACAGACAACAGGCTCACTGCCATCATGGAGGGCACATTCTAGAGTGATGTGACAGAAAATAAAGAATGATAGACTACATAAGCATGGGATGTGGGAAGTGCTGGGCAGGAAATAAAGCAGATGATACAGTAGATTAGATGGCAAGGAATTAAACCACCCTAAGGTCCTAGGCCTCCATTGCATGTCATGAATTAACTTCTCTTCTATGTGACAGGAAGGGTACAGTTGTAAACAATCCCTAAGAGAACTGAAAAATGGCCACTCAACACATTGCCTGCGGGCTGTGTTCAGATGAGGAATATAGACCCATAGGGCTGAAATAAGGAGTAGGGAGCTTCTTTGGTGATGGAGAATTCTCTCTAGGGAGGTCACATGTTCCTGAATCATGAGTGAGGAGAAAGAATCAACCGTATAAAGACCAAAGAGGCTTTTCAGGTAAGAAAAACTGCAGGTGCCAGAAAGCAAATGGCAAGATTCAAACACATAAAAGGAGCCAATGTGAGTAAGTGAGTGAGTTATTAGAGTAAGTATTATGAAGTGAAATTAGACAGCAGACAGGAGTGAGAATCATTTGAGGATTTAGTGGGCCATGGTAGAGAGATTTGAGTTTTGTTATAAGTTGATTTGTTAATAAATGATAAACATCCCCAGTTGAAGGGACTGAAATGCAAAGAATCAAGAGATCAATGCATGTGGAACTGCCTTGTTAGCAATAAGGCAGTTATTTCATATGTTATATTAAAACTGCATTTGTAATAAGTAACACTAAATATACAATATTTAATATTAATATGTAATATTAAAACTAAAATGTATGTACTTCCCCCCATTGGTAATCCTCAATAAATCAAAACAAAGAATGGCTCAATACCTGTGCATTTTTGATTAATCTCACCAGTTAAAACTACTTTGATCTCATGTCTGAACAGCAATCTCACCTGTCAGCATGCTCGACACCTGAATTTTCACTGTTTTTACCATGGACAGCATCACAAACTAATGGCTGGACACAGCATGGCCCCAGAGCAAAGCCACTTCATTCTGGCCTCCTCCTGCAGTGTACCACATCACAGTCACAAGCTACTGTTAGCAATGGTAAGCTGATGGCAGTAGCAAGTCACTAAAACTAATAAAAGCTGGCCTTGTTCGTGTGTGAACCAGCTGCTAATTCTGGACCATTGAGGGGGTTCAGCTCTAGAAGGGGCAGGAGTACAAATAAAATAATATTATTTTGTTCCTATTATTTTTACTATTATTAAGGAAAATATGGCTGAACAACTTGGTGATAAAATACAGAAGACATAGGTTTGTGTCCTACAATGTCAGAGAGGAAGAGATATCACATGGAAATATTACTAACTGTTTATCAAAATGGTGCCCAAATGCACTTGGGAGGCTCAGGGTGGAGGTTGGAAATGTGAGGATTCAGGCGAGATCGAGGTGTGCAGGGGAAGTCTTTTGCCCTTTCAGAGAACTGAGGATTCCAGAAAGGTTCTGATGGAGGGGCACCTGTCTGGTGGGCAAGGCAAGGCCAGCTTCTAGAGGAAGGAAAAAGATGCCATTTGGCAAGTGTAAAACCAGTTTCTGTTTTGCTCTTCATAGAAGAGGGCCCCTGTCAGGAAGTTTTCGAGTTGACAAAAAAAGGCTGTAGCATATGTCTCATCAGGGCTGTCTGATATTGCGTCTCTTCCTATCTACTTGTGGAAGATCAAACTGGTTTAATATCCTTTCACGTCCAAAAGTAAAAACCCAGTTAGTACACTCCTGTAATCCCAGCAGTCTGGAGGCTGAGGCAGGAGGACAAAGAGTTCAAGGCCAGCCTGAGCTACATAGTGAGACTCTGTCTTAAACAAATAAACAAAAAAAAGCAAAACAAAAAAAGAAGTAAAAATCAAACATACAAACAAATCTATCTTAATATAGAAATGCTTCACTGAAGTGACATTTTGGAAAAATCTCATTCACCCTATGTATCTGTCAAGATAAGTCTCCAATTTCATGAAGAAACAAGAAAGAGAAGATATTTGCAGGGTCTGGAAAAATGGAAGGAAAGGGGGGATCAAAGAATGTAGAAGCCTGAAATAGTAAAGACAGTTTTACAGAAAATATTTATTGGGACCTAACCTTATGCTAAGATTTCACATATATTATATTCAGTACATACAATATTCAACACATATTATCTACTTTCCTCCTCTTTTTTTTTCAGTAGGAAAATATTTCCCCATAAAACAGAGTCAGTATTCTCCATTTGCATAGAATCAATTCTTTAAATAACTTATAAGTCCTCTATTTTCTTTTCCTGATCATCACATTAATGAAGCAAGATAATCAGCCTCAAAATTTTCTTCTCCAAATAATATTTGGTGTTTTTCTTTAGCAAATATCATGACACTGACCCAGCAAGGTACTCATTATTATCCTTAGCTCATAAATAAGAAATTTGAGCCTCTGTGAGATTAAGTAGTTTGCCCAGTTCTTCCTATACTTCCCACAAATTAGTCTGTGCTACTTTTGCTATAATCTTGTACTCTCAGAAAACCATCAGAATAATTGTTGACTACATGGCATACCATCTTTCTATGCTTTGTTTAATGTGTTGATTTAAATTTAGTCACTTTTTTTTATGATACTGTGGTTTGAATTCAGGGCTTCACACTGGCTAGACAGGTGCTCTGCCATTTGAGCCAATCTGCCAGCCCTGTTTTATGTTGGGTATTTTCAAGATAGGGTCTTAAGAATTATTTGCACAGGCTGGCTTCAAATCATGATTCTCCTGATCTCTGCTTCCTGAGTAGCTAGGATTACAGCAGGAGCCAGGGTTCCCAGCCTCACTGTTTTTTAAGGGAAATTGTATACCACACCAGTAAGTACAAAATCAGTAGAAGCTGTAATTCATGGGAAGTAATCATCAAAATAAATACAATGGAGATAAAATTGATATTAAACTTTAGTTCCAAGTCTGAAAACTGGTTTGTTTAAAAAAAAAAGAAAGAAAGAAACTGTCAGTTTTAGAACATTAGAACTAAATAGAACCATTCTCCTTTATGTACTCACAAGTATCTAAAGAAAGTGACAAGAGAGTAACTTTTTCATTAGGTGATTTATTGCTTGGATAGTGTGTTGCCCAAAATTATCTCTTGTATTATGTGATTCTGTACCTATACTTCGGGAAATACCTGATTTGCCCAAGATATCAGAGCATGTAAAAGACAAATCTAGGATTCAAGCCACTATCTGCCAGGTCTCAAAGTCTA